TTAATTTGAATATTTCTTGGTATTGTTCGAGTAATTCCGTTAGCTGTCGTTGATCAGATGGATTACGCCTTTTGCCGGCTTTCTAGAGTATTCTCAACAGAGCGATTACTAATTGTCTGAAGAAGAAGAAGCTCGATTTTTTATAGACGTCACAAAACATTGTTAACATATCGAATGTTTCATCCTTGTAAAAAAAATTGTAATAATTAAACAGATGTGAAAATGTCAGTAAATTTAGGATTATTTATGAAGTTATTTTAATTTGGTAATTGTTTTTATTTTTAGATTAATTAAAGATGTTATATTAATTATTGACAAATAAATTTTGTTCTAAGTGTGATGTAGCATTCATAGCTTTGTTCTCATGAATTACTATAATAAGAAATCAATAAATAATTTTTTGAAATAATTGATTTCAGTATGAATTATTTTAGCTTATCTAGGGCAGCTCTAGATTAGTGGATTTTCGCGAGATATAATGGGACAATAACACAACATGGCTGGAAAGACAGAGCAGAAAAGAAGTCATCAAAAAAGCAACAGAACTGAGAGAAAAAGGAACAAAGTGCAAAATTAGCTACAACAAAATAATAACAGAACAAAAGGAGCTATACTGGAATAAAAGGAAGGAAAAATGGTTTCGGAAGGAAAGACCAGGAATAACTATAAGAAAAACATGCAAGTGGTATTCTGGAACGTAGGGGCATAAATGGTTTAGACGAAGAGGATTGGAATAAATTAAGGAAAAGCGACATATTAAATTTTACCGAGACATGAATAGAAAAAGAAAAACATGTTCAACTAAAGCGACAGTTAAAAACATATGAAATCACGAAAATAAACACCAAGGTAGAAAAGAAAAAAGGAAGACCCAAAGGAGGTATGGTCACAGAGTTCAGAAAAACTTGCTAGACAAAGAAATCACTACCAAAAAAATAAACGATGAGTTGATAAGGATCGACTTGAAGTCAGGAAGTAAAGAAATAATAATTATGAGTGTATACATGAGAGAAAAAAAAAAGAACAAAATTTTGAAAGGATGACAAAAATTATAGAGGAAAATATAGAAAAACCGATAATAATAAGAGGAGACTTTAACGCTAAAACAGCTAGAAAAGGAGGCAAAGTAGAAGATAAAACAGGAACAGAACAGAAAATTCAGACGACAAATATGAAAATGGGAAAAAACTAATAAACTGAATAGAAGAGCAAGGTCTGTACATAATAAATGGAAATTTCACAGGAAATGAAAACGCGCGTACGACACATGCTGGACCAGCGGGAAAATAGGTGACTGATCATGTGAAAACAAACAGAATCGGAGAAGAGAAAAGCAAAAGAATGGAAGTTAAACAAGGGATAGCATCCGATCACCTAATGATACAAATTGAGCTGTCGATACAGAGGAAGTAAAGGAACAGGAGAAAAACAGAGAACTAATAATATGGAATGAGGAGAGCATCGAGGACTTTATAAATTGGCTGAATAAAGCAGGACCAGCAAGGACCTGGAAAGATCTGAATGAGGAGAGTATCGAGGACTTCATAAATTGACTCAATAAAGCAGGACCAGCAAGGACCTGGAAAGATCTGAGAATAAAAATACAAAATGGTTGACAATGAAGAAAATAAAGCCAAACAATGACCCAAAAATGGTGGGACAAAGAGTGCCATCAAATGAAGCAAGAGCTAAAAGAAAGATGATGAGAAAAAATACAGACTATTAATTGAAAAAACGAAGGAAGAACAAGAAACAAGAAAATCGTCAGAGGCTAGAAAAGATAAAACCGGCAAAAATCTAGGAACTAACAAACAGTCAAAGGTGTAGAAGAGAGAAAGTAAGTGTCGGAATAGGTGGAGCACTTTAAGATTCAAATGAACGGAACAGACGTAGAACAGTCATGCATTGGAAATATGAAAACTAAAAAAAAAACAAGAGGAAGAAGAAGACGAAATAAGTAGAGAAGAAATTAAGAAAGTAATTAAAAAGATTAAAAAAAAAAGAAAGCAGCAGGAAATGATAAAATACCAAATGAAGCATGAAGTTACTGAGAAGATGAGGTTGTAGAGGATCTAAATGGGATAATAAATGACATAAGGAAGGGAAACGCAAAATTACCAGAAGAATGGAGGACGGACATTGTGACATTAATATAAGAAAAGATAACAAAGACGAGTTAAAAAAATTATAGAGGAATTACACTTATGGACACTGGATATGAGGAGATACTAAAGAATTGGCTCGAGACAGAAATGGAAGGGAAGAATCTCATGGATGATACACAAATAGACTGCAGAAATGGGAGAGGAACACTAGATACAATATACATAATAAAGACGGCTATTGAAGAAGAAATAAAGAAAGGAAAAGGAGGAACCTTTCTATTCTTTGCTGATATGAAGGGAGCCTTTGACAGGTTAAACAGAAAAGAACTATGAAGTATAATGAAAGAAAAAGGAATAAATATGAATTTAAGGAAAAGAATAGAAGAAATATGTGAAGCAACATCATTTAAAGTGAAAATCAATGAAGAAATTTCTGAAAAATTAGCACGATTAACGAGGTGAGACAAAGATGTCCCTTAAGTACAGTTGTTTTCAACCTAGCTCTTGCGGATCTAGAAAATACAATGAGGAAAATTCAAATGGGAGGAGTAGTCATAGGGAAAAAGAGAGTATGGACAGTATCATACGCAGATGATATATTATTGGTGGCAGAAAGAGGCCTAGAAATGAACACAGAAAAGGTGGTAGAAGAACGAAAAAGATAATATTTACATGGGAAGTAGAAGAAACTGAAAGCAGTAAAAATGTACAACTACCTAGGCTACTTCATACAGAAGAACAACGGAAACGAAGAGCAAATAAGAAAGTTAAAAAAAAGGCAACTGAAGTCTTAGGTAAAGTATGCAGAATATCTGAAAGGAATTTCAAGGAAAGTTGGGAAAAGAAAATGTATTTATTTGAGGTACTGGTAGAAAATATACTAATGTATGGAGCGAAAATATGGAGATGGTCAGAGCACAAAGTAATCGAAGGAGTACAAAACAAATACCTAAAATGGATTCTCAGGCTTCATCAAAGAACACCAAGCTACCTACTAAAATTAGAAACAGGCAAAGAAAAGATAGCAAATAAGACAAGAACAAGGGCGATAAAATATGAGGAAAAAATTAGAAAACAGGGAAGCAATCTATTTAAAGAATGCTTAAAAGTAAAAGACAAGATACATTAAATACAGGAAAAAGAAAAGATGAAAAGGGAAAAGGACCAATAGCAAAAAAGTGGAAGTTAGAGAGGAGGAATTACTTTCTAGAAAAGAAATGGACACCTGAGTACTATATTCAACTTATGGAAAATAACAGCGACATATGGACAGAAACAGAGAAAATTGAAAAAGAACAAGATAGGCAAAAACTAGAGGAAAAGCTAAATTCATCGTAAATACGCAAAGGAATACAAAGAAATACACCAAATCGATAAACCGAAATACTTGAAAGGACAAACGCAGAAACGAACTGGAGATATATGTAAAATTCAGGTTAGGATCAGAAACGAAAGCTAATAAGTATTGGCTACCAAAAAAGGAAAGACTATGCAGCATGTGTAAGAAAGAGAAGAAATACTACAATATGTCCTAGAAAAATGTGAGCATACGGGACAAGAGCAAGAAAGTTGGATACACCAGATCACGGGCCCAGGAGCTCATGCAACAAATAAAATAACCACAATCTTTTCATATTTCTTTATATTCAGCAATATCCAGAACTTCCCTAGTTTAACCATTGTGTTGAAACAGGCTACTAATCTTAGTTAAAATAATTCATAGGGAAGAGAATTATTTCAAAAGATTATTTATTTATACTTCTTCATGAAAACAAAGGTATGAACGCTAGTTCAAACTTAGAACAAAATTTAGTTTTAGTCATTACCAGAATATATTTATTAAATTAAATAACAAAAATATCTACCAAATTAAATCACCTTAATGACTAATCATAAATTAATTAAAATTTTCTCGTCTGTTTTATTAAATATCTTCACTCCAGAATTGCTTTTATGTCTTCAAATAACAGAGCTTCTTGAATCCATTGCCTGTTGTCATGCCTTTTAACTTGCAGGATAGCAGTATCTTGCGTATGGAGTTCTAACGTTTCACCATTCAATGTAAAATCCATTCTATGGAAGCTTAGGCAAAAGTCACATTACCGAAAAGCGTCTAAGCCCAAGATTACTTTCTCTTCTACTTCCGACTGGTTGCCCCTAAAAAGACTGCTTAACGACTTCGTACTCCAGCGTTCGGTCTAACATATCGACAAGAGTTCTTGGCCCATGTCGCTGTTCTTAGTCATCATCCCTCAATTTGTCAATAAACAAGTCGATGAGAAACTTTTGCAGGGTATTGTCGAGCGAATTTAGACAATATTCGCCTCGTATTCTTGCAAGTCCTCCCGTCTCTTTTAATGCCGGTTTCTTAATTGGGAATGAATTGTGTAAAGAAAGTAGTCCATGACTTTCCGTCGAACTTCGGTGGCTTCGTGGGTTACTTCAACGAAACGGATACTCTTGTTTACGTCAATTGTTTATTTAGAATCGGTCATACTACCCTACTTTTTTTTAAAATGGAATGCAGATTTCTGCTGATATAGCTGCTTTCAGGAACATCTCGTCCAGTTCTTTCACCCGTGTATCCATTTTTTTAATTTGACGTTAAAGTTTAGTTTCCATTTCGGTCGATTTTTCATCGAATGTTTCCAATTTTGCAACTAATTGCTCCTCTAATGCTTTAGAATTCTTATTTAACTATTGTGGTAGTATCTTTGAGTTTCCATTTATCTTTTTTTCAAAATTCTGATTAAATTCTTCTTTCAGTATTCTCGAATTTTCGTTTAATTTTTCTTTTAATAGTCTTGAATTTCTATCTAAACTTTCTGTCAATTCTTCTTCAAATAAGAATGTTTCCCAATCGTAACCAATTTATATCACACTGTATTATTATACTCGTCACTGTATTTATGTCACTCTCTATTTGCCTGTAACTCGAACTGTTTATTGATTTTACGATCAGCTACCCATATACAAACTAACTAGACTGTCGTGCAGAGGCCTATTACTATTCTTATCGAATTCTCTGGAACAGTCTTCATTCTTCTAAAGTGCACGGGAACTCCTATTGTTTCGCAGTGTCAAGGTGATTTACTACCTTTCGCGTTTTAAGAACAAAAGTTTCCGTCCATGTCTGCGGGCATACTCGAGAGCCGTTGAAAATCAATATAATGATTTTCACGTACATGCTTGTACGTAACAACGTAATAATAGTTATAGTCTATAGTCGATTGAAATACATACATACTATTTTTTCCTGTTTCGCAATATCTCTTTTCAATTAATTAAACCAACGCTACGAAAAGCACACCCACTTACCACAACTATATGAACCCAAATCTCAGTATTGTAAGACGCAATGCATCAACAGGTTTCTCATCGAAAGGTTATCCTTTACGTGTTTAGTTACATTTCCTTGTGACCTACTAAGAGGCATAGCAATTCGACCGTTGTCCCCGATCTAACGTCAGATCTCGAGGATTTTACTTTTCTCTAATCGAGTAGTATTTTCAATACTTAAACCAACTTACTAGATAAATCAGAGGTATACATATTAAATTGTAAAAATTAGAACTAATTCTATATTGGACAGACAGGTCGTTCTTTATACGCATGTAAATTCAGTTAAGTCAGTTCCACTAAACTAAATTTTTAATATATTAGTAAAGTGCTAGAGGTTCCACTAAATAAGAAAACTCATGGTAGATATTGTCACGAGCTAAATTGTTACTTTAGGTTTTTGTTAATTATTTACTTTAATTATCTGATTATAATGTGGTTTTAGTATTTTGTCGCGACTGGGCGTAAGATATTAAAAAGGGAGATTGGAATACAATAACAACTTTATTATATGGTAAGGTAAAATATATGTGAAATTCAAAAGATACAAATTACAAATAGATTTAGAGTTAGTTGGCAAGTAATTTAGACAGTTAACATTACAAATAAAAATTGAACAAAAATGTTTATAAAAATTATCCGTTAAGGGTAGAGTCTTTTCGTTAACGCGTTCCCAATTAGACCATCCAGTTAAAGTTATTGATGAATCAGTTATTATTTGTACATAGTTCAACATAGATCACTCACTGGTTCTACCCGATACTAACTAGGTTATAAACCTTCTTTCTATAATTTTCAGTCCCCGGAACTGTCGAACTTGCGTTAATTTTTGCTTGTACATAGATAATTTTTTCAAAACTTTCTTTTCCCTTACTGTTTCGTTGCTGCAGAATTCCAATGTGCTTATTTTGCAAGTAAATGGACTTGATATCTGTTTTATGAGTTTTGAAAGAATTGCAACTTTGTAACTATGAAATATTTAATTAATTTTGGAATATGTTTGAAAGTCTAAAATAGTTATTGAGTTTACTTAAAACTCTACTGCATGACAATATAAGAAAAATAAAAATAATGAAATGGCATTTGTTCCAAATATTATTAAATAATACATTTAAAATTATAAAAGAAAAGGTGTCCCATAATGATTAATACGTTTAAAAATCTTACCGTCAAAACTTATCACAGAATTAGTTTGTTTCTTGACTGATTGACGGGTTATTTGATGTTTCAGAGTCTTACCAGCTTTGTTGGAAAAATCTGCTTTTTCATTCGTTGAAAAATCAATACAACATTCATTTTTATTAGACATTTCTAATAGTTTTGAGTATAACGCAGTTATTACTATTTGTAATAAGACTGAACCCCCTAATGGATTTACGCCAGGATCCAAAGCTTCTTGGAGAAGATTTGCAACCTATCAGACACAAAAACAATAGAATTTGTATTTAAGAAACATCAAATTATTGATAAAAAGATTATTTAAAAAAAAATACAAATAGATGGCGAATTATTCTGACACCAATAATATTTAAATTCATACCACTGAAAGTTTGGGACATACACAAATCCACATTTGTATGAAGCAACCAATAATAATGGACATTGCTTGATACATGGTTGCTCCCGATTTAGCAGCTAAAAGAACTGTATTTACAACTGCAGGAAGAATTGGCTTCGCAAGTTCCAAAATAGCCTCTAGCCATGCAGGACGTTTCTGACTCCAAATCTGAAATAAATGGAGACATCAGGGACTTCAATTCCAGCAAGTCCGCTATAAAAGGCTATTCATACTGTTGGAATTTTACATGAAGAGCGTATTATTGCGGAATACTCAAATTTCTGATGTCCAAGTTTCAGGTCATATGTCAATGAAGCATCTACTTTTTTTTTCATAAATCTAAAATATAACTGGTCGTGTTTTCTGTCTATAACTATTTATTTACTGCCACCCACAAGAATATTTTAACAAGTTATGGACTCATTGTGTATTAAGTGTTAATAGTTGGTTTGTAAAATTTGGGGACACATCAATACGTGCTGTCAAATAATTGAAAAAAACAATGTGTGAGCTGAAAAAGATATGATTCTAAGAAAATTCACGCTCAAGCTACGTTAATGACAAATGGTATTTGGGGTTATGTTGACGGTACTAAGCTTATCCCTCCCATTTGTGTCTGGAGCTAATGCAGCAACAATTTCATTTGGAGAAGCTGAGCGCAAAACTTGTCATGATCAAAACCGAATGCTAAAGCTGAGCTAATATTATCAACTGGAGCTGATGAGCTATATAGTGTTGATGACTGATATGTGGCCCAGAACAAAAAAGGGTCTATATTTTTTGACCAAAATATTTTGGACGATTAATACAAAAAACTTATACATTGTTATTAGCTGATACGGATAAGTATTTAATGTTATTCATTTCATAGCTTCTTTTTTTTACTAGAGTTATCTGTACACCACCGTATTGCAATTGATTTCATGAAATTCTTCTTAACTTGAATGCATATTTTTATTTTCCCTGTATATTTCAATTTTTCACTCCTAATAAAAATAATTTTCGATAATTGACATGATGAATCAAATATTTAATTGCTTAAATGTCAGTGTGACGGCAATTAACATGTACTATTTGTTATTATTAATTATATGAAGCGTCTTGTTCGAAGATGCTCACTTCCCACCTATAAAAAGGAAGTTACATCTTAAATTAATGATAATGAGTGAACCCTAACCCTATAATCATCTTGTATGAAACTGTGATATCGCTTAGATACTCTGAAATATATGTTGACTGGAGAGGCGCGCACGTGGTAACAGCACAGGGCGCGGGAATATTCTTCAAATATAAATCTCTAAACTTTGTGAAGTTTAAACATACTTAACAGTAGTACATGTTATCTAGCATCTTCGAACGAGACGCTTCATATAATTTCGATTGAACTTCACCCTCGTTTGATCGATAAATTATACCATCTAAGTAGTAGTAATACTATGGTGGTCCTGGGACTCAGAATCGGCTGTTCATCCAGTTCTGACCATCGTCCAGTTCTTCGGCTCCTTTGGAGGTCATTCTTCAGCTGGAGGTCATTCTTCAGCTGAAGGTCATTCTTCGGCTGAAGAAGGTCATTCTTTAGCTGTAGACGAAGAAAAAGGTCATTCTTCGACTAGGCCGAAGAATGCACACACGCACACACACCTATACAGGTCCACGTATTTTTGTGGCATCCCAACCTACACACCCAACTGTGGCACTTTTGTTGTCGGCCCCTGTACGCATACTACTAAAAATTACGAATTTAATGTGCTAGGCGGCGCTCGTTTACTCACCGTATTTTCGGAGAAAAAATTACCAGCATGAGACGAGATTGTGGCGTCCGTCGCCACAACAAATGCATTTATCCATAAGTGTGTTTAGGGTGCCACAAGAGATGTATTTGCACTGTGTGTTATGGATGCCGCAGTAAATGCATTTATCTAAAACTGTGTTTAGGGTGCCACAAGANTGCATACTACGTTGCCTAGCTCGTCACTTATGAGAGCGAACGGTTTCCTGGTCGAATAATATTATTATTATTATCGTACTTCGTCTGTCATCGACGACACCAAAAGCTATGATATCTCCTCTGCTACAACTGTTTTTTTAACCATTATAGGTTTACCTATTTAGAATACACACAGAATGCCATTATCTCTGCTCTTTTTCTTTAATGAAGAAGTTAATAAATTTAAGCTTAAAAAGTCACATATACCTACATAGCCTTTTATTTAAAGTAGTAAATTACACACACACACACAAATATTCGTTTAATACATATATTATTTTTATTATTCATAATACATACTACAGCAGCTCAGTTCTTATTTCGCAATACCTTCCGTTTACATATTATTAGACATGAATATAATCTAAATTGTTTACAAAAAGTAAAATAGGTACTATATAAACTACTGTTATTCATATATTAATTGCTATCTTTGTAACACCACAGATATGTATCTGTGTAAATATAATTTACCATTCTTTTATCGTCCTGTGGACTAAGCGCTACTTTTTTCTGTCGTACGGTATAAACTTTATGTTTCTTTGACAAAATTAAAGTTTGACTAGCTTCTACTGTTCTATTGTGGAAAAAACATTTAAAATAGTCTTCAAATGTAATTTTTCTAATTGCAGCCCTTGTAACACCTTTAGACTTTTTTTTAACTTCCACATCACTTTTCTCCTTATTATTACCATTATCCAATTTTATGGCGTACATTTTCGATCGCAAAGCGATGAATACGAAAGATATTATAAATATTATTCGGTGGATAGTCTGATGTGTCAAATTTATGTCATTTTTTATGTTGATAAATATCGTCAACAAAGAACTAGTATATTAGCGAGTCTGTGTCAGTATAAAGTAATTTGGCCCTCTCACAGAATTTGTTTTGAAATGTCAAGTATGCAGAATCCGAAGTATATTGGCTTTTTAAATGTAATATTTAGCCCTTTCATTTCAATAAGTACCATGTTTTCATCGAATATCGTACAACTATGGAAATTTGGTTGTGAAATATAAGAATTTTTCCACGGTCTTACCAAATACCGCGTTATTCATAAGTTTGTAGAAATTTTTTTCAAAATCATTTCTGCTCGACATATTCTTTTAACCAAGGTTATTGTTTAAATTTTAATATACGATGAACCTTTCAACCAATTTCAATACCTAAATATAACGCCTGTTTTAAATGTCTATAATGAATAATATAGTTTTTCTTATCGTAAAGTGTGGTCATTAATTTGTGCATTTTTGAATTGGAAGCTGGTGGAATTAAATGTTCCGGAAGTAATGGCAAATCCCTATGCTTTATATGAAGTTTAACTGGATAAATAAGGTCGATTTCAAATATGTAACCGTACTCACCATCGTCGGGAATGTCATTAATTACAATAGAGTATACATCATCAACCCATTCAAATTTCCCTTCTGGTAAAGGAAACGACATCGCGTAACCGTAAATATTATATAAGTCAAAATACATTAAATATGATATAGGTTCATATGCATTACAACTACTTTCCATGTACTTATTATTTGCTTTTCCATATCTGTTACACGCCTGCGAGACACCCCACGTATCCCTCGTTGTAGGAACATTATCATATCAATATCCGTTAGTAGTTCTAATTCAACTCCCGTCTGTTTTAGCATACTATCGAAAGCGAGCCCTGGCGCAGTATAATAATGTAAACTATTCAATTTGTACGTGTTTTTAGGTGGGGCAGGTCCGTCAATACCCGAACCCCTATTGTAATGCTCGAAACACGGCTATTCTTGTTTGAATTCTTCGTCGTCCCTTAAATGCTTCGGCAATTTGTTCCACGCATAATAACGGTCCAGGTTATTAATATGATCCAATAGATACTGTCTTGGTAGAACCGCTAACTCTTAAATGTTTCAATAACCAATTGTTCTCGTTCATCAGTATTAGATATTTCATTTCTTATCTGCTCCATGTTATTTCTTATCTGTTCCACGGTACTCATTACACTGAATTAAATTAAAAAAAACATCCTAAATGTAGGTAGGTAACTACCTACTGATCCTAACGCTGACGCTGCTGTGTTGTTTTTAATAATAGGAATGGTTTGGCTGTTAGGGAGCGTAACTTAAATTAATTGCATCCTTAACAAGTCTTCTATTCTTGCACCTGACGTGGCATTAATTCTTGATGTTAATTATGTATTTTATTTATTTGTTCCTTAATAAAGTCCATAAAAACAGTTCTATAATCATCCAGCATTCTTAAAACAAATGTACTTGTATTTTCTTTTTCTCTTGGAAAACTTCATCAATTATCTGCTCTATTATAGTTTGTAAACGATCGGTGCTACTTGCAATTTTAGAATCAATCATTGTTTGTACAGATGCAATAACATGATCGATCCTGTTCTGAACACGTTGTAACTTGTTANTCCTCTGTCGGGAAAAAACGAAATGACTTTCCGAACAACCCTATAGATACCCAAAACGCGTTGTGGGCAAATCAAATCAGCATAACCGAAAATACACGACAACTTTCGTATTCTAGTCGTGGTTTTTCCGACTTTCTGGCCGTTGCCTTTCCAGGTTTATCCTCGACGTTTCGTCACCACGCACGACTGAGATCTTCACTTTTGTGTTGTAGGTTTTACAGATATAGGTACATAAGGTAAAATATTATTTTTTATTTTAATCGGTTGTTTGTAATATTCAAGGTTACTCTTATTTGAAGTTCAATCAGTATTAGGTATAAATTTGTTATTACAATTTAACATTGTCTGTATAATACTAATAAATATCTAAAATAACCTAACCTAACCTAACTTAAAAGGTACCCAGATTTGACCATTGAAATCTTAAGGATTGATTAATAGCGGTATACTTTTAGAAAATATATCCGCAACGCGTTGTGGATTTCGTTGTCATCTTTTTCATATATCCTAAATAGCATCATCAAAAACATACAACAGTTTCGTTTTCCGTGGTTGTTGTACTTTGGCATTGCTGGTATAAGTACCATAGAAAGTCTTCTTGGAGTAAAATTCAGAACAAAGCTAAGTAAGTAATGCAATGTTACTTTTTGAAAGTGTTAAGGTAAACTTTCTCACTTCTTCCTTTTCTTAAACACTGAACCTTTTTTATGTAATACTTATAGCCACCAGATGTTTGGGAATTAAAATAAAACTTTTGTAACAGAAACAAGAATTTGGTAGGTAATCTTTTATGAAACAAAACTTTGAAGTTTATTTCTTCACTTTTTGTTTGATAAGAACTAAATTTACTCTGAAAAACCTCATCGTTTTACCTATTACCTTACAAAACTTTATCTGGTGATTTGAAAGACAGCATTCAAATCAAGTCTTTTGTGCTCCTTATTTTCAATCGCTGAATGTATAGAGAGCTTAATGAAGTGTTGATAAATTAATTAATTAATTGACTAACTAATTAATTACTGTTACTGGATCTAGTTTGTCTTGTCAAGCGTTGAAAGCTGTGATGCAATTTATCGATTTAGTAGATATATTTTGTGTTACAATGTCCGATGTGCCATTTTGGAGCAGCATCTAATAATTACAAGAAAATTTCAAGGAATAATTATAATCACAAGTAAATTTAATTAATATTTTTTAACAATTTTACTACCAGCCATCTTTACATTGTTTCAGGGTATCTTTTTTGTTTGTATGTATCATTTAATTAATTAACCAATCGATTGTAGTTTGCATGTGTGATTATATTTCAAAAATTAAAAAAATAGACTTAAAAACTATTCAAATGCAAGTAGAATTTAATCGAGAAATAAAAACTGAAAATAAGTAAGTATTTGCATTATTAAATAGAACAGTTTCCAATAAGTTCCATCTGTAATTTTAGAATCAACAGGTGCTAGTAATGTAATGTAAAATAAGTAGTCGTAGTTTTCTATAGCAGATATAATTCATGAAGAACATCAGAAAAAGAAATGCATACTTTTATGATACTACGTCTGCTTCAGTAATATGAAATGTAAAACGAATTTATTTTCCTTTATATGAAAGATGCTATCTAATTGGCACATATTTCGCATTTGCAAAGCAGCAGGAAATAAAAATTTCAAATAAGTACGTCCCTTTGTTGTTATGATTTTTCAATTCTGTTGAATTGATGTTTTAAGAGTATCAACGAATCTTTCGTTGCATAGAAATATGATTCCTAACACAACTACACTTATTATCATTTTTCGTAAGAAATAGCAGGGTATGTATGTAACTACCTAAAGCATCATAAATTCAATATCTGGATTATTTAATAGATATCGGCATTACGTGATATAAAGGAAAATAGTCAAAATTCACGTTAAATATAAGACCACTGAAGTTATCTTCGAANAAGCAAGGGCTCAAAGAAACAAAGAGAAGTGCAACAAAAGAGGAAGGTAACATACAAGACTTCTACATGGTGAGAAAAAATACAGACGATTGATTAACTGGAAGAAAGACGGAAGAACAAGAAACAAGAAAACGGTCGGAGGCTAGGAAAGATAAAACCGGCAAAAAATTCTGGGAACTAATAAATAATCAAAGGTGTAGAAAAGAGAAAATAAGTAAAAAAATAAAAATGTCGGAATGAGTGGAGCAGTTTAAGAATCAAATCAACGGAACAAACCTAGAAGAATCATACATTGGAAATACGAAAACTGAAAAAAAACAAGAGGAAGAAGATGAAATAACTAGAGAAGAAATTAAAAAAAGTAATTTAAAAGAAAAAAAAACTAAAACAGCAGGAAAAGATAAAATACCAAATGAAGCATAGATTTACGGAGAGGACGACGTTATAGAGGATCTACATGGGATAATAAATGACATATGGAAAGGAAACGCAAAATTGTAGAAGATAGAGAGAGTAGAAAATTTTTCTAGAAAAGAAATGGACATCTGACTACTATAATTCAGATTTTCTTAAAGATAGGCTTCTATAAAGAGATTAATTAATTATGCAGATGACTACGAATCGTCAAATTACTGATCTAATTCTGTAGTTATTTTGAAATGGGTGCAAGTTCAAGTTGGAACAATTAGTACTAAAGACAGGTTAGTTATGAATCTTCCCCTGATATCTTGTAAATAAAAAATCAAAACTTTTTTTAACTGTGAACGTTGTTCTGTCCACCACGTAGTTTTTTATTGTAATTTTTATATTTATTGTTTTATTTATACGATTCTCTGTTTTTAACTATTTATAGTTATTATTATTTCATTTATTTCACAAGTGTTTAATTAAAGTTAAGGGAAGATTTGGATATCAAAAAACCAAAATGTTTGCTGTAGTTAAATAATTGGAAAATAAACCTTCACGTATATTTGACTTTTTTTTATAGATTTATTATTTCCTAATTCAAATTGTTGGCCGGCTCATACTTATTCAAATTAAAAATGAATAGAATAAAATAACAGTAAAATCAGTCGGCATAGGAAGTTCTGATTGAATTTCGATTTCCGAAAGGAAATAGCGAATATGTATGAGAATTGTTAGGATTTCCTATTTCCGAAAGTATTATTTTCGAAATAAATGGAAAAAGGTCAAATAGAGAAGATTGCGGCTTAAAGAAAACACCTACCTGGCAAGGAGCTTGAAAAAGATAGGCGTCTCCAAAGGCTGTGCTAAGACAGAAAATGTAGTCCCTCTTGGGATGTTCAGGGATGGGTTGCATTATCGCTCCGTCGACGATAATAAGATGTTTGGGGGCAGCTTCGACCGACCGACCTTCTCTCGAATCGCAGGGATAGAAAAGCAGCGTTGTTCCTTTTAAACAGACCCAGTATCCCTTCCAGCCCCTTTTTCTAGCTAATTCTATTTGGTGCTTTTTCCGCAACAGCCATTTCTTGACGCTCAGAAATCTGAAATGAACAGAAAATCCGCTATTAAATGGAACGATATGGAAAGTTAAAAAAGGGGGAAAGCGGTTAAATTTCTTATTTTCTTTTCATGCTGAAACGTCTCAAGAGAACAATTTAATCGCGAATCAGCATTTCGCTGGATATTTTATGAACGGTTTATACGCAATTGCTAAAATCGACCACTGGCAGAAATGTTTACCCACAACGCGTTGTGAATTTCGCTATCTTCTCACGTCGTGTTTTGCGTATTAGGCCATTTTATATATATATATATAGGGTTGTTCGGAAAGTCATTTCGTTTTTTTTTTTGGAAATGAAACACAGTTTTCGTATAATAAACAAATACTTTATTAAATTATATATTGACCGTTCTGGTCCAACACCTTTTGCCATCTTTCTGGTAGTAGCATAATTCCACGCTCATAAAATTTTTGGTCTTTGCTGGCAAAAAACTGATCGAGGAGGTTTTTGACCTCCTCATTTGAGGTGAAGGT